CGCGTATGTGCTGGCAGAAGTCCACGCACGCTAGGCATACGGACCTGAGCTCCCTGACATTTATGTGCAGGGTCTGCTCCTCGGGAGACCACATACCCTGTGTCCTGAACAACCCCACATGGTCTCCCCAGCCCAGGTCCGAGGCGTCGGACACCAAATCGAGGGAGGGAGGAGGCTCTCGGAAAGGAATACCCCGGAGCATGTTGCTCAGGAAGGTCCACCATTGAAGGTCCGCCAGCATCGCAGGTCATACCGTGACAACCTTGCCCAGGCCGTCCCTGGCCTGAGAGTACCGGGAGGCCAGACAAAGCTGGAGGAGCCTCATTCGGAGCCTGGCATGTCGCACCACGTAGGTGCATGCTGCCATGTGGCCCAGAATTTGAAGGCACGCCCGTGCCATAGTTACCGGAGAGGCCGTGATTGAGGTGATGAGAGCTTCGAGCATCTCGAGCCTGTCCCCGCGGAAGGGAGGCCGTGGCCGTCTGGGAATCTAACAACACACCTATAAAGGTTATGCGCTGAACTGGAACCAACGTGGATTTCTCCTCGCTTACCAGCAAGCCAAGCGCACTGCTGGCGCCGAGGAGGAAGCTCGTCTGCTGCTGCACCAAAGACCGGGACCGGCCCTTGAGCAGCCAGTCGTCCAGGTAGGGAAAGATCTGCAGCCCTTTCCTCCTGAGGTGAGCTGCAACCACGGCCATACACTTCGTAAACACCCTGGGGGTTGTAGAGAGGCCAAAAGGGAGGACCATAAACTGGTAGTGGTCCTGCCCCACCAGGAAACGAAGGAAGCACCTGTGATCCTCGAAAATGTGGATGTGAAAGTAAGCATCCTGAAGGTCCAGTGACATAAACCAATCCCCCTGATCTAGACATGGAATTATAGAGGCCAGGGAAACCATGCGGAATTTGTAATGCACCAGAAACTGGTTGAGGTTCCGCAGGTCGAGGATGGGCCAGAGCCCGCCCTTTGCCTTGGGGACGAGGAAATACCTGGAGTAAAACCCTTTGTCCCGGTATTCCCGAGGTACCCTTTCTACCGCTCCCAGGGAGAGAAGGCGCTCTACCTCCTGGTGGTGGAGGAGGGCATGCTCCGGGTCCCTGGTCTGTTACCCAGACGGGGGGCAATCCGGAGGGGCTGAGAGGAACTG